AGTACAAGTCTGGAAGTATGGCTGGCTTTTCTATCATCAAACGCCCGAACTGTCGCGTCTTTTTTTCCTGTGCGAGGAGACACTGGGAGAGAGACAGACAGAGAGAGAGAGAAAGAAAGAGAGGGAGAGGGGAGACATCTTCTAAACTTACCCGGCTACTAACAATGTACTTATTTAAAGCTAAAATAATCCCCACGGCAAATATATATATCAGGAAAAAAAAAAGCTTTACTGGACGAATATTAGAGGCAAGATAATGACGAATCCGAGGTTATCGGCTCTTCTGCAGCTTTGCGCCGCCGTCTTTTATTTTAATGGAAGTTTCTAAAGAAAGATCTCCAGGATCGCATTACGAAAAGTGGGAAATACCCGCCGAAAAACACAGCAGGCGCTCAACATATAAAAGAAATATATAATCCGGCGTGAAATTAAAAATGACAATATGTACTCCGAAGCTCCCAAGTAGGCAGAAAAGATTTTCAAAAAAAAAATAATCTTCCTTTCACTTTGAAATTAAATCACATCAACGTATTTGCTCAATAAAGAAAAAAAAAAACTCAACGTATTTGCATATTTTCTTTAAAAGAAACTTTTTTTTTTTTTACCGTCTCATGGCGCGCACGGTGTGTTGTCTTTGGAGCTTTTAGTTTTCTCGAAAGCGCCCAAAAATAAACACTGAAAACTATATTTTGGTGGGTCAATAGAAAATAAAAAAATATTGCGTATCTTATCGACGTGTTTGCTTTTATTTGTTTCATCTGTCGGTAGCCGGATTTGATAAGAATTTATATTTGAAGTGCCCCGTGCGAACTTCTACGACCAAATTTTTCACTTCGTCATGTGAACATTGAATTGAGCTGATCCCAGCCTTCGAAAACATACAATAATAAGAAGATTTGAGAAGTAACAAAAACACATTTGCTGAATTTATTCTTCTGGAAATAGTTCAGGTAATGGTGACTATACCTGCACTTGCTAATTTACGTTTTTCTTTTTGGTTTTATATGATACGCCGATCTTAATCAGCATAAACACCCAACAGTATTGTTTTAATGTTTTGAAAGTAAACACTATTCTTGCTAATTCTGCGCAAATAAAACTCGGAAAGCTAAACATCCTTAATTTAATTTTAACCCTGAAGACTGGTACTGACAAGCTGTGTTTTATTTTTATTCATTCTTACTTTAAACAGCTGCTTCTTTTTATTATCTTTTGTGTACACGCGTGGGCATCATGAGAATGAATAAATCCAGCCCTACCAATCATCAAATTCTCTACTCAATAACAAACAGAAAAATCAGACTCATTTTTAAGATAACATCTGGAGTATAGATATCAAGCTGATGTTCACAATTTTGCCGAAATGGTAGACACCTCTGGACAAAACGCAAACGTCCTGCCCACAGGACGCAAGCAATCAGTGCGACGACATATCCCACCCAACAATACACACACCCTTCTCAAGTTTTTCAAGGTCATTCGAGCCAGACGTTTATTAATAAATGAACGTATGCTTTTTTTTTTTTTTTTTAGAATCATATTTAGTGTTGGCGGTAACGCGCTGCACCTAACGACGTTTATACTAACGCATTACATTTCTCGGTACCGTTCTAAAGAACTCGTTAAAGTTTCAAATCAGTAACAAACAATGTGCGTAGGTTACTTACTTCGAGCAACAGGTAACGTTGTTAAGTACTCTTTATTCTTCCCAAAGCTTTAAAAAGAATTCCTCTTGAATTTTTGGAGCTCTCATCTTTCATGCTTTCAAAAGAAGAGTATCAAAAAAGAAAAGATAATTATGTTAGGTTCCGGCATGAACATTATGGTTCTTGAAAAATGGCGCTTGTGCATTCCTCTAATGTGAAAACAGTAAAACGTTTTAATTCATACACAAAAACGTTCCTCAAAAGTAAGGTTAATAACTTTTTTATCGGTAAATGTAACGTTTTCCTTTCATTTGCAAGTAACGAGTATCGTCTTGTTACTCCTTTTTAGTGCGTCTTCAACATTGATCACCATGCATAAATCTACTAGCTGATGTTCTTTTCAGGCTGTGCTTTGGTGTAGCACATATTTTGTACAGCGTCCGGCAGGGCCGATTATGGCTCGTTCAATCACTTCCGGTAGGTTACGACCGAGTTTTGCTGACCTCTTACGACGGTAGTAGTAGTAATTACGTTTATAGAAAAGAAAAGGTGATTATTTCCTTGCCTCTTGGTTAATACCATCTCGCAAGACAGGGGGAAGGGAGGGGGGATAAGGGGGGAATTGTGAAGGGAACCAGATATAGTTGATGAAGCCTGAGGAGCGAATAAAACGGACCGGTAATGACAATATTTGTTTTATGTCAGCGTTATTGATATTTGGGCGTGTCCGCTCTGTGTAGCTTGGAGGGCTTGCTTCTGGCGGTACTTCTGCGATGGCTCCTAGTCTTCGCATATCTGTGTCCTTGCAGTTCCAGACCAAACGCATATATACGTGTGGCTTGTGTTGGCCACACGCTTTGCTGCAAGATGGGTTCGGACCGACGTCTTTAGGTGCCGTTGGTTTGGGAAACCTGGCTTGCCTCACCGGTGGGATGGCTGTTTAAGTTTGAAGCCTTCGTACGCACAACCTCTTCTACCTCGACAAACTAGAAGGGAAAGGGAAACCGTCCGGAGGCGAGTGCGAAGTCAGTCTTATTTTCCTGGCCCTTCGTTCCGCCTCTTTGGCTTCTTCAGGGTCTGGTGCCAAGTGTGGACTTCTTTCGGAGGAACTGAGATAGAAGAATAATACACTCGCACTCTGGCGCCACCTATAAGGGGACGCTGCAACTGGATTTCACTAGAGCGAAGGTTTTGCGGTATTTGCGAGGTCGAATGTACGTGCTGTCTATGAACAATGGACGTTTATAGCACTATCGAAAGAAGCCAGACAAAAAAGAATGATGAGCGAAACGATTCAAATACGAATCGCGTAGTGTTCTACGGCTAGCCACCAGATGGCGCTAGTCTCGTAAGAAATCCCAAGAGATATTGAGGCACTTAATCGCAAGCAGTCGCAACAGTGTGAATCAGTCTTTATCCTACCATAACTAAAGAGCACTTATCATCGGTTATATTTCCGTGTTGAGGGCGAATGATATAGGAACACTTTCGGTGCTGTGGTGCTCCTCGGTAAATTAACTGCAACGCCTCGTGCGGGCGTCGCGGAAGATAAATCGGTAAGCGCGCAAAGTTTTCGTAACTTCTAAGCAAAATAGCCTTCAACAACAACGGAGCCCCCAACAACACTTATGAACCAGGGAATCTGGGCCGGGAGCCAATGAAACATAAAACAAAAAACTGAGGAAGTAAACAGACTAAAAAAATAAATAAATAAACAGAATCGGCTGTTCCGCGACCTCTTGACACCGTAAATTACTCGAGTGAGGTGACAGTGTCTCGGCAGCCGCGCCCGGAGCCAAAAAGGATGCTATTTTTTCTTGTTTTAAGCTTACTTTTTGTCTTCTTTTGAAAACCACAACAGTATCTGGAAAGAGTCCCAAAAAGCCGCAGTGGCAGCATCCTCTCCAAAGCCTCACAAAAGTCCGAAAGGCCGGAACGCCAAAAGGGAAACGAAAGCGTTCGCCTTCCGCTTAAGCCTGGATAAACAACGAAAGAAAACGAACCGCTCCGGCCACTTGTGGAAATAACATGAAAGAGACAGTTTTGGAAGGAGTTCAGAAGGTCTCGGATCGAAAGGAGCCTTTGGAGCGAGTCGTATCAATCCCGCAGCGTCTCCCAGCAAGCTTTGGCGTGTTCGCTTCTTGGGCCGCGTCGGGGATCCACTAAAGATGACGTCATGAGCCGGCCTTGTCTCTGAAGTGGTATTGTTCGAAGAAGCGTGTTGGAATGCCCCGCCCTCTTTTTGTTTAATTTGCTTTTCTCTTTCTTTGTTTTTCTTTTGTCTGATTTTATTCAAACCCAGCGCGCGACCCCGAGCCCCGTCGTGCCCCAGATGCAAAGGAGAAAGCGAGCAACGAAAAAAAAAAAATAAATAATGATAAGATGGCGGGAAGGAAAGCAGGAAGAAAGAAAGGTGAGGAGGAAGAGGAGTGTGCGGCGTCGTGACGTCATTTTCGTTCTTTCTTTTTTTTTCCTTCCTTTTCTTTCCGCTATAAAGTGTGCATACTCGCTTTCTCGCTGCGAAGACGATCACAGTGGGTGAAGCGTTTGAGTAGGAAAAAAAGAGGACAGAAACTGTATCAAATACTTCACAGGGTAGTCAAGTATTTGAGCCTATCACGAGACAATGTTTCGAAACTTTTGTTACGTGCTATGACGTGAAGGGTATCATCGAAGCCTGGAAGCAGTGATACTTTGCGAAAAGATCCGAGCGTGTGTGGGATACCAGGCGACGTAGGGGAGCGTCAAGTTGCGTACATCTCAACCCAGAAGCGGCAAGATAAAAAAATTGCCGCCCTTACGCCAAATTTGTTACAGAAATTTTTAAGCTAAGAGAATGAATAGGGACTAATAAGAACCTTTAAAATTGCGAAAAGAAGAAGAAAAAGAAACCCATAGCGCTAAAACTGAAACGAAACCAGATTATAAACCCATCAGCTGACGGCCGGACGTGAACGAACGAAATTCAGAAAGTTCACTGGCCGCCCATTAAAATACGCAGCTTAAATATGCAAATGACTGATTTACACACATAATTAAAAAAAAATAGAGAAAGGGTAAGGGGTGATGAGACAAACAAAGTCACGTGGTCCGGCTCGGCGAAGCACCGCGAGAGAGAAAAAAAAAAACGCCGAACTCCGCGTTCGAGGAAGCCCGAAGAGTTTCGGCAGCTTTTTTGTTTCTTTTCCGGAAGACGAGACCAAAAACAAAACCACAATAACTACAACGCCGTCACACACAAAACGAAATGGAGCAAATGACGTAAGGCGAAGAAGCCGACGGAGCAGTGGAAAGGAGGTAAGGGCCGCCGCCCACGTGATGTGACGTCACGAAAACCCCGCCAAGAAACGGAGCCGGGTCTGAGCCTTCGAACACAGTGTAGTCGGGCACTGGCAGAGGATCATCAGACTTGGGGAGGCGAGCGAAGATCGTCCTTATACTCCAGCAAACAACGTGTCTCTAGCTGTCGGATGTGCTGGGCGCGCGCACGTGCTTGTGCATGAGCTTCGAGGAGGCGGATTAGGCTTCGTTGGCGACATTAATCGAAAGAAAACACGGTCTGGACGTCCAGTTTCATTTGTGGGTTTTTCGTTTCACGGACTCTGGGACAAACATCGAGTCGTAACCACTCGTCGTATCGTGCTTCTGACAGACTGCCGTGCGATCGGCGAAGACGACAGAATCCCTCTCGCGGCATTGGTGAGTTGGGTTCATTTTTTTTTTTTTTTTTTTTTTTTTGCGCCTGAGCGAACGTTGGGTTTTGGGGGAAGATAAGGCCCGGATTAGTCGGGGATTAAGAGGAACGTTCTGTTTGACGGCGTCGAGTGTCGCTGAGAGCCACAGCGCGTGTATTTGTGATTTGCTTGGTCGGTGTGTTGCGCGAAAGTTCGGAGCATTCGAATAGACCGCGTTAATCTTAAACCCTTCGCAACATGCCTTGGCGGGAGTTCGTTTCATTTAAACATAAAAGTGGCTGTAATACGTCAGGAACCTTAATCCCTCGGAGTGCATGTCACGTGGTTGCTTCAAACTTTTGTTAAAGGTGCGAGATAAAAGGTATAAATAGTTTATATTAAATTACTCTACAACTTATATCAGAAAAAAATATATGCATTTTTATAATGCTTATTATAGCAGTATGACATATAAAGATATACCAGTATAAATCGTGAAAAATTTGTTTTCTGCGCCGTTTCCGTTCAATAGAAATTGCCGTCCTTGGAAACAATCACTTTCTGTCTTGAAGCCGACCACAAAATATTATTTCAATTGTTTTGTTAAACTCATATTGACAAATATTGGTGGCTTTTCTGTTGTCCTTTTTTTCTTCTATGCTTGCTTAGTCTTGCTCTTCTTTAGTGCGGAATCGCCATCATACTTATATTCAAAATAACATTATGTGAAGATAGCGGGAAAATTGGCACCGTACCAGTCTTACAAAAAAAAAAAAAAAGCGAAGATTTACGGGTTTTTGCGATGCCATTTATTGAACAGTAATATATATATATACATATATATGTATCAATTATTTACTAACAGCGGCGGATCTAGAATGCACAAGTCCATTCTATTTTTAGTGTGACTTGTACGTTTCTTTCTCATAAAACCGTCACGAGACAAGTTCACGACGTCACAAATTTCCCAGATCTCAACGTTCACGCGAGCGTTCCATTTCTAATTTTGTTTGAAGGCGAAGTGACAGATATTAAACCATTTCTTCCGTTGATTTATCGAAGCCATCTTGACAAATATTTGTCTCCCGTACGCCCGCTTCCTGTCCGGATCCTTTAAATAAAATTGAAAAAAATACCGCAAGGTTCGGATGGCGCCGCTGGAGACACTAAATAACGGCTATTCTTCTGAGTAGGGACAACTTTTCAGCAATAGATGGATGGATTATAACGGCTGTACCCTTTGTAACGCATGGCAGCTTGTGCCATCTAGCCTAGGAATGTATTGTTAAAATCATTGTTGCTGAGTTATCCGAAGCTCCATCTAAGATCGCGTTAGACGCTTTTCCGTCGTCAAGGATTGTTAGAACAATCCGCGTCAGATCTGAAGGTGTGGAAGCCGCTTTATTGAATCTCAACTATCGCCATTGCTCCCACTCTAACTAGGCAACAAAATGGCGCCACCCGTAAGATATTGGAGAGTAGAGTGTTGGTTTTTCGCACGTAAATTATTCACTGAGAGCAGCTGTAGACGCTCTAGCTTTGTTCAGTAAACCCATGTGAATTTTCGAGCGAGTCAATATAAGAAACATATGAGACAGACTTTTTTTTATTATTATTTGTCTTCTGTTAAATTCGTTGCTCGACGAGACTCACAACACCAATTCACTCCGCGAAAATTTTATGACTGAGAGATACAATAAACAAATGTGCCGTGACACGGGCAAAAAAGAATTTCGGGCAAGTGGTCGCAGCTCCAAGGATGTAAAGTGACGATAATGATAGAACCTTTTGTGTAGCATTTTTTTTTAAATTCATTATTTGCCTAAGATATAGCAAGACGTTTCTGTAGATTATTTATTTTGAAGAAAAGAACAGCGATGCAGATTTTTATGTGAGAGAAACGTTACGAGATATAAAATTTTCTTGGAGAGATTTGAAAACACAAATTGGGCTGATAATTCAAATAATGCAAAGGTGTAAGCGAGCTGGAAAAGAATATCGATAACAATCCCCGGAAAAGGGGAACAAACACACCTATTGCTGTGTTTGTAGCTTTGTGTTGGTCCCTTGTTCTCCTTCTCCAGAAATTATTACCGTCAATTTGGACTGAATGAATTAAAAAAATGCCTTTTACGAGTGAAAGTTGCACTTTTTCTTGTTTTCAGTTCATACTCGTATGTTTGTTTACATTGTACAGAAATGCTAAAGAACGAGTGTGTAAGAACTATACAGTTCAAAACTACGAGAGAAAAAAAATCACAACCTATCCAGCCCCTTAGCTTCGCACTAAGACTCATGTCGCGTCATTTCTGCTGAGCCGTGAAACAAACGTTTTAGAACTAAGGTTGTAAAAAAGCTACCGGTTAAAAAGCTAAAAAAAAAAAGCTAATTCGCGACGAGCTTTAAAAACATGCAGACGTCAAATATGGCTGCACGAAGACTTCCGCTTTTGCAACTCGCGAATGGAAGGCTATTCGATAGTCATCCCTGGAGGTAAAACAAAGAATAGGCTGCCATTACTCACATATTATAATCAGTAAAGTCTTTCCTTTATTTACGACTGCGATTTTGAATTCAGACGCAAACCTTGCATCCGACCAATCAGATTTGCTTGTCATACAGGCACATATAATTGTAAGCAAAAAAAGAAAGTATATACTATACAAAAATATTGCAACTGTCCTTGTTTTAGAAATGTCAGGTTCTTTGAATTGATAACAATATTAAGAATGAGAAGCTAGATATATAGCACTGAACAAGATTTCTGGACAAGAAGCATTATCTCCGGGGCCTAATAACTGTCCTTTAAAGGGCTACTCCACCGATTTTTTCATTGCCTCCGATTTGCTTGAAATTTTGCTAGACTAACCAACAAACATCGCGAAGATAGTATCCCAAATATTAGGTCAAAATATTGTTTTTTCGCGAAGTTATTAAATTTACAGTTTTGGTCCTCACCGTGTTTTTCAAGCTCGAAGTCTCTACTGGCAACAGTGAAAAAGTGACGTCAGTGGAAGGCAGGGGTTCACTCTTTGGGCTGTAGATTTTGTTTTAAACTGATTCGAAGCAGTTTCATTGTTTCAAATGAATGCTTGGGAAGCTCGCTGCAGTACCCGCGCTCCAGCACGGAGCAAATGATCGGCATATTCTATTTTTTGGCTGCTTGCTCGACTGGCAAGCCTGCCTGCCACTGACGTCACGGCCCTGAAAAGCGCGCGTATATTTGAATGTTGGTTTTTGCATCATTTTCATTTGCCGATTTCGCAATAACTATTATGAATTTCGCGATTCTGAATAGCATACCGGAGAGAGTAAAGGCCGGGGAGTCAGAAAATATAGCCAAGAAATCGGTGGAGTACCCCTTTAAAGGTGTACTCCACCGATTTTTTGAGCTACCTCAACTAACTATATTTTCTGACTCCCCGGCCTTTACTCTCTCCGGTATGCTATTTAGAATCGCGAAATTCATAATAGTTATTGCGAAATCGGCAAATGAAAATGATGCAAAAACCAACATTCAAATATACGCGCGCTTTTCAGGGCCGTGACGTCAGTGGCAGGCAGGCTTGCCAGTCGAGCAAGCAGCCAAAAAATTGAATATGCCAATCATTTGTTCCGTGCTGGAGCGCGGGTACTGCAGCGAGCTTTCCAAGCATTCATTTGACACCATGAAATTGCTTCGAATCAGTTTAAAACGAAATCTACAGCCCAAAGAGTGAACCCCTGCCTTCCACTGACGTCACTTTTTCATTGTTGCCAGTAGAGACTTCGAGCTTGAAAAACACGGTGAGGACCAGAATTGTAAATTCAATAACTTCGCGAAAAAACAATATTTTGACCTAATATTTGTGATACTATTTTCGCGATGTTTGTTGGTTAGTTTAGCAAAATTTCAAGCAAATCGGAGACAATGAAAAAATCGGTGGAGTAGCCCTTTAACGCCAAAATTTAAACAGTCCTTTCGAACCTGGAAAATCATTGAACGATTTTTACTTTCTCTCGCCCCTTCTAGCCGCTCTGCAGTTCGAAACGAAAATAAGAAGAAACGGTTTCCCTCAAGTTCTTTGTCTACTCTGTGTTGCCTTTTTTATTTATTTTTTTTCGTTAAGGCGCTCATCGGTAATATGATCAAAATAAATAACAACGTCAACCCCCCCGCCTAATGTCTGTTAAACGTGACGAACACAGGGATGCTTCGTACTGCACAAACATTCAGAAAAAAAAAATATATATATATACGTCAGAAGAACGCACTTGAGACGGATGTTGGAGTTTTTAAAACATATTCGTAAAGTCCGTCGACGTTTCGGCCTGACACGGACCTTTTTCAAGGCTGGTTACATTTGACTAAATATTGACACAGCTTGGCTACATCACGCGGCCCATATATGTATGTATATATATATATATATATATATATATATATATATATATATATATATCAGGGTGTCAAACCGGAACCGAACCGAACCGGTATTTTTTCCGGAACTGAACCCGAACCCGAACCGTTATATTGTTATCACGATAAACCCAAACCGGAACTGAACCGGAAAAAAAATAATGGTTACGGGCTCATGTAAAAACGGTTCGGCCACGCGCTGTTGACAATGAATGTGCTATCAATGCCATTTGTTTATTAAGTGCCGTCAACTGACACACACCTCGCTTACATATTTTTCTTCTCCACTCAGTCTTAGGAATATAAACGCTACATCCATGAATCTTGACATAGGAACCAGTATTGCGCTGGTCGCGGCTTGCACGGAAAAAAGAGAATTGGAAGGTTGTGTAAAAAAAAAAAAATCGCGTCACGGGATTTCATTTTCTTACAATCTCGTAAATCCTAAATGCTGCTGTGTGCTCATTTCATAACACATTTCTAGAACGCGCGAGTTCTTGAAGCTTGCTTCCATCGGAATGAGAAAAGAAAAGGCTGTGGAGTTTGATAATAATGCATCCGGTTTCGTATAGGCACTTAGAAGCTAACATATTTGTGAGACAGCGAACTCTTCTATTTTAATATTT